ATAGATAGATAGATAGATAGATAGATAGATAGATAGATAGATAGATAGATACATACATACATACATACATACATACATACATACATACAAAAGTTATACAATTTGCTACTAACATTTGTTGCATATTGAGTTATAATGTTCTAGGGGGCGAGAGGGGAGGTTGTTGTCAGCTTAAATGTAGATGTTAACTTGATTCCATGATAATCAGCTTACTTCCATAATTTAAAAAAACAACATTTTTATTTCCTATCAGCCACTTCAATAATTATTCAGTTACATTTTCATTGTTACCACTATACTGTTATATTTTATTGAATCTGAAAATATTTTTAAGTAAATCACTGTTACTTTTTTTTTAATGAAATGTGGTACATAATTAAATATAATTTTAATATCTCAGAAAACAACTTACAAACTAAACTATTGAATACATTTGCACAACATTTAGATATTCATTTTGAAAGGTACTCCACAAGTCCTTTTATAGGGATACTTTAACAATTCCTGCAAATAGAGAGGATAATGCAGGGATATGAAGTGATAAACTAGGTGATAGAATCTTACAGTGTTTTATCCATATGTTTTAGTTGCTCAGTTTTGTGCAAGAAAAAGAATGGGCTTATTGCTATTGGTTTGTATAAAGTACATACAGTAAATATATACAGTAAAATACTAGTCTCCCCTATATTTTTAAACTCTTTTTTGAGTGATGTCACGCACAGCTCCACAAAATGGTTTTGCTTTAAAACAAACATATTTAAATCTCACTGAAGTCAATAAAGATACATTTATTTTAATGTCCTTTGCTTAATCCTTTATTGGACCTTTCCTCAGTTTTAATGCACTTTTTATTGAATAATTTTCAACCAATCAGCCATCCCCAGCTAACATCAAGCTCATAAAATATTCTAAACTTCCCATATTCTAGTCTGTTTTAGCAAAATGTGCATGTGCTTTTTTATTAGTTGGCTTTTGTATATTTAAAAGGCAATAATCTTGAAAATAAGCACTGGGTGGGTGATCATAAATAATACCACCTCCCTCCAAAAAATTTTATCAAACAGTCAGAATTGCTAGTTATATAATTGTCCACTGAATCCCATATTCATTAAATCTGAAAAAACAAACAAGGTATGAATTGCCTAAAACTGAGAAATAAACTACATTGGGATGCACGTAAGGCCATGCAAACATCCGGTGCACAAATGTTGAGCACAGTACCACTGCTTTCATATTTATGCAGAATTTGAAATGGATATTTTGCAATGGAAAAAGTTGGAAAGTATTTCAGAGTACTGAGAGCAGGAAAAAGACAAAGCCAACAGCAGCAATGCTTGGTGGATAAGAGGACGTTTAAGAAGACAAATCCTGGAAAAATCAAGGGTAGGGTTGGATTTGCTGCTCTTAAATTCAAGGGGAGCAGTGGCAGGTGGCAACCTAAGGGAGATGAAAAAAGGAAGATGTTGCAAAGGTCAGAGGAAAAGTGGGTGAACTTCCTTGGATTTGAGAATAGTGTATCCAGTCCAGTGATGAAATTCAATTTTTTTTACTACCGGTTCTGTGGGCGTGTCTTGGTAGGCATGGTGTAGCTTGGTGGGCGTGGCAGGGGAAGGATACTGCAAAATTTCCATTTCCACCCAATTCCAAGGGAAAGTACTGCAAAATCTCCATTTCCACCTCACTCTGGGGCCAGCCGGAGGTGGCATTTGCCGGTTCTTCGAACTACTCAGTTTCTACTAGCAGTTCTTCAGAACCTGCTGGATTTCACCCCTGATCCATTCCCTATGCACATAAAACATGTAAATGCATACCAACCACATTTTATTTTACCCAATTATTGACATTCACACATTGTAATGGTAATATCATCTATGTAGGTGGAAAATGCCATGATTGATGTATATGATGTTGTTTATGAAGATGTGAGAAACAACATTTCCAGCACCAGAAGAGAGGAGCTATATTCCATTCACAAGATGGTAAGTTGCTGATGGTTTTGGAATAGGTTAGCTTTGTCCCAGCTTAGTTAATTTTTTACTCTTTCGTCCCAGAATTGCCAGTTGAGATAGCCAATGAGCAACTTATCAGTGGCAGTTCAATGTAGGAGATCTCTGGCTGAGGCATTTTGAAAAAAAAAACCCAGTTCCCAATGGCCATATCCAATATTTTATTTCAGCAGAATTTCTTTCACATTTTCAATAAAATGAAACTAATCATGCTTTGGGAATAATCTGATGCAAGATAAGTGCATTTCTACCACTAATTTAAATGGAGAACGTTGAATTGTTTTCTGTAAGAGACTTGAAGAGATCTGAAAATATTAATTCCTTTTATTTCCCTTCATTTATTTCAGAGAATGGAGGGGGGAAGGGGGAACCCCATACAAATAAATATAAAATATAGTGTCATGTATAAAAAGAAAATAATAGTCCAGAAGCTTGGGAGAATACAATGCCATTCTTGGCATTGGCATAGGCAAATCTCTATTTGAATTTGAATTGAATTGAAATGAATTTATTATATTTCTATGCCGCCCTTTTCCCCAAAGAGGACTCAGGGCGGCTCACAACCCAAGTCAAGGGGGGGGGGGGTACAAATAAGGAATAAAAAAGACGAACAAAACAATACCACAATTTAAAAGAACACAACAACCATACCATTCGAGGGGGGGACAAAAACTCATTAGCCCCAGGCCTGTCGGAACAGCCAGGTTTTAAGGGCTTTGCGGAAGGCCTGGAGGGTGGTGAGGGTCCGAATCTCCACAGGGAGCTCATTCCAGAGGGCCGGAGCAGCCACAGAGAAGGCCCTCCTCCGAGTGGTCGCCAGTCGGCATTGGCCAGCGGATGGAATTCAGAGGAGGCCTAATCTGTGGGATCTAATCGGTCTATTGGAGGTAATTGGCAGCAGGCGGTCTCTCAAGTATCCAGGTCCAATACCATGAATGACATTTCAACGTGATCAGCTTTGGCATAAACATGCCGCTTTTTGTAACAGTGGCAAGTCTTTTACTCTTCTCAATGGCTTGCTAGGGAAAATAGTTTAGCAGCTGGAACAATAATTAGTACAGCAAACATCAATAATTCCACTGAACTCTTTTGTTTCCTACACAATCAATTCAAATTTATATTGGCCTTTCTCTGGTACTTCATTTGGAGTTGCTTTCACCTCTTCAGAGCTTTGACAAAAGAATTATTTTGCTTAATCATTAATATACAAATTCCTACTTTTCCCATACTGTTACATGTGCAGCATATTTCTAAACGAGAAAAAAGTTTACCCTATCAAGGAATCTACAATAGAAGCTAACTAACAAAGCAAAGTGGAAATAAGATGTAGCATTGTAACTGAATGACATCTGCAACTCAGCGTAGTAATTCTGAATGAGAGGCTAGCTAATGAATAAGGCATGAAAAATAGCAGTATTCTGAATATATGAAAAATACTGCAAGATAAAGGGAGGGAGGAGTCACATACAAGTCCTCTCCAAAAGGTGACTAAATGAAATATTTTCCTGTCAGATTGTTTTTAAAAATATCTAACAAGGGCCGTAAGAAATATCTGTTTCTTATACTTAACAGTTCTTGCCTCCTTTCTGTACAAAATTCACTTTTTTTAGAACTCAAAATTCATAGCTATATTTTATGTTTATAATTGCATAGTTATTGTTGTATTCAAAAATAACTGCAAATCCCAGATTCTGTTATGAATCTTTGGCAACACATTGCTAAAACAGTGACTTACAAAAAAAGGAACTTACAAAATATAAAAGGAGTTTGTTTCCAAGCTTGTTGGGAACCAGAAAATATAGTTTTATGATGGCCCTTCTATGCTGCCTTTAATCACTGTGAAATCTGGGAAGAATCTAGAAGCAATTATCAGACCACTGGGCTAATTAATGAAATGCAATCATAGAAAACTATCACATGTGTCACTCAGAGTCCTTCTAAAGTCTGTAAGGGCTAAGAAATGCAGCCCTGAACTAAAAATAAGATAAATCTCGTTCTTTTCTTCAGTGAAAAGTGAAAGAAGGTTTATTGAATTAAATAAATTAAAAATTAAAAGGTTACATTAAATAATCATAATGACCCAAATACAGTTAATTTGTTTCTATCAGAAGTCTTACTGGGCTTCTATGTGTGCGTGTCTGGAGATAAAGCATGTAGTCTTTTTGTGGGGAAATGAGGGGGAGCTTTTGTAAATACTTCCTACTGTCCTGCAACTAACAAGATTTGCATAACATGCTAAGGCCAAATATCAGCCCAAGATGTCTATTAGATATCTATATTTCCACATAACCAAGGTACTGATTTTACCTTCAAAGCCTTTCATGCCACAGGACCAGGTTATTTGCAGAACTTTTCTTTTTCCACAAGATATGACGAGGTGAGGTGCTGCAGGTCTCTTCGGTTAAACAATGTCACATGATGGGACCCAGAAGACAACCCTTCTCTATTATGGTCCCAACTCTATGGAACAACATGTCAGAATATTCATGAACTGGAATAGGACATAACAACAGGTCAGCCATTGGGGGACTGGCTGGAATAGGACATAGTAACAAAGGTCAACCAATGAGGGCAGCAAGGAGCCTGGGCGTGGCTTAGGTTTATCTTAACTGCCCTGTATAGAGGAGGTTCTCTTTGTCTGTATTAAGCTCTGAAACGAAACAAAACTGGTCTGATGCTCTGATCTGAAACTGAAGAACCACTCTTGCTATTGTATATATTACTGCATGTGTTATTATGTATATAAAGAGAAGTTAATGAATCCTGCCGAATCAGTTGTGCTTTCTAGATTTGATTTCTGCAACAAACTCTGACACAGCATATATCTCAGATACAGATTGTCTTGTTTGCTGGCCTTTCATCAGTTTTTCTCCTTTGGCACTGCGCCAGAAATAAAGTGAATCCATTTGCGAAGTTTACATGTGCAGATATAAATTAGTTGCCCTCGGTTCAGTGTGTTTTTATTAATGTTGTGTGAATTTGAGGTTTTTAATTTGATATTAGCACTCCAGAATCATATGACAAGTGGGCAATTATAGAAATTAAATAAATAAATAATCTCATGAGTAACCAACTGGAATCAAGATTTTTACCAACCACAAGAAAGAACAAATCAGAATAACCAAAGAGTATCAAGTAAAAGAATAATAAAGAAGGAATAAAATCAAAAGTGGGCAGATTCCTTCTCAAAAGCTTGTAACAACTCCAATCTAGGTTTTTTTTTCTAAATAAATAATAATATGTTTAAAATTCTATTTTAGTTTCTATGTTGTGGGAAGAAGTCAGCCTTTGCCGAAAGAAACAGCATAGAAGATGAAATGTGTACATCAGAAATTCTGGAAATAGAAGAAGAGGTAATAAAACACTGGACTGTGAGGCCATTCCTTTCTCTTCAGGCACCCAGGGATACTTTCCATACAGTATGGGAGTAACATCAGAATCCCCCCTCACCCAGGGGTAGACTTCAAAAATTTCAGCGAGTTCTCTGCTTGGTTGCTGGGTGGGTGTGGCAATGGTGGGTGTGGCTTGGTTGCCCTTCTGCACCAAAGCAGAGGGGGACATTTTCACCTTCCCTAGGCTCCGGAAGCTGTCCTCAAGCCTCTGGGAGAGCGAAAATTGCCTTCCCCAGCCTCTGGCGGCCTTCCAGGAGGCCCATTTCCCCCCTCCCCAAGCCTCCACATGGGCCCTGCACTTACCTTGCATACAAAACGGGCCATGTGGAGACTCTTGGGAGGGGCAGGGAGAGGTGGGACCAGCCAGGGATGGGATTTGGAGGTTCTACGAACTGGTCATAACGTTAACTATGGATTCTCCCAAACCCGGGCAAACCCATAGCAGCCGACCCCTGCCCCGCCCCCAGCTTCTGAGCAGCTGTCATGAGGTTAGAATACAGTGATAAAGATTGTCACTTTCATCGTGGCATTGAGCTTTCTCTATAGGGTGAAGCACAGTTCCAAAAAAATATAGTAGACCTGGGAACAGCACTACAGAAAAAATGGCATCCTTGGCACTTTTGAAGCATATAACACTTGGGTGTGCAAATCATCTTGCAGCCCTAGGGTGCAGGACTTAAAATTATTGCTTTCATGGTACCATGATAGGAAGGTTGATTATACATTATCATCACTGAATTATCAACTTCTTTTACTGCCTTTTGAGAAGGCTTATGGGAATTTAAGAAACAAACAAACCTTCGTAGCTTTATTAAGCCTACTGGAAAGGAACAGCTGAAATGAACAAAATGTAAAGTATGTCAGTTTTGTCTCCATTAAAACAAAAGTAGGATTTCCTCTGCTCCAGTGTTCACCCTGACATTTTATTTAAAACGTGAATAAAATTCAATCAAATTCCAGTAATTTGCGGTCTTACTTCCAGACCTTACACATATTTAGTCAGAGAATAAGGACATTGTACTTTGTAGGCTCTCTTCTTGTTTTGTGAGCTTAGAGAAGCCCTGGGAGAGATGAAAGGACTTGCTTTGCAAAAACACAAAATGACTCTGCAATCCAAAGTAAGTGATCTGCTCTTTCAGCAGTTAATTAAAAAGATGCAGCAGTGAGAAAACACAGGGCCATTACAAATGAATTATGAGGGCATCTGGATCCTCCATAAAACTCAGTGGTTGAGCCAGAGGGAGATTGTACTGAAAAAGCTTTTTTAAAGAACATTTATTTGTTCTTCCCTTCTGAGAGGAGATTCGTGGAAAGAATATGCTAGAAGTTTCATTCCCTGAAATTAGATGCCTGCCTTTTGTTTTGGTTTCTCCTATTGCTGGATCTGGAGACATGCTACCATTCTTGTTTTATCGGCTTTCTACTTATGGATAATTGTAGCCCAAAGATGAAACATGCTGATTTGTTGATTAAAAAGAGATGTACACTCTTAGCTCCAGATTATGATGTGTCAGAGTCACCATGAGATAATATTATCCTGTAAGCCAGAATGAGATACAGCATCATAGTTAATTATAATTAATTATAATTATTAGCCATTACAAAAGTAATTATATTGCACTTCCTGTTTTACCCTCTTCCGGTTAAGATGGTCAGCATAGCAAACTATACAACCTGGCTTCTTTTTGTTGTTAGCTTTCTTGCATGGAACCGAGACAGAAAGCCCAAACTATAGTAAGATGACATCATGATTAATTCTGAATTACCTAACAGGCCTTTCTACTATAGGAAGGCATTTGAGGTAATGCAAAAATACTTAATAACTGCACAGCATCTTTCACCTAAATTAAGTGAAACTTCATTTTTATTCTGAAGATCATTTGTATTCTAAATTGTGAAATTTAAAATGCAAATTTAGCCAGCAATACAGATATAATAATATGAACATTACAGACCTCAGTGGTAGCTTTTCCAAATGTTTGATTTCAAAAAATAACTGAAAATGTTTTTGGTCGGAGTCTGCTGATCTGTTATCTGTGCTGCTCCCTATTTATTTTTTAAAATTTATTTTATTTGATAGGTTGTCAAGGAGCCAAATATCTGGGCCTGGCAATTGCTTTTATTAACTTCCTTTCCTAAATCTTTCAATTTCATTTTAAGTGGTGTTTCACTTAAGAAAATAATTTCCAATTTGTAACAGACAGGCAACACATCATGCTAAATGTTAAACTTACCATAAAATCTGAATTCTACCTTAATTTCAAGCATACATCAGAATTGAAATGAGCATCATAGTGCATGAAATTGAGTGGAAACCCACCTTACTATCCAGACAAAAATCTCTTTCTTTCCACTCCACAAAGTAGCAATAAAACTTAGGGAAAAAATAACCTGAATCCTAATTAACAAGTATGTGACTAAGAATATAAGTATGGAATATAACGTAGAGATGAAACCTATCAATGAAGGCTGATAGAACTGTAAAGTCCAATGTGTTTCAATAAGAGTTTACTCCCATGTGAGTGGATATTAATTCTATTTTTTTTAAACTGCAGGATTGTCTCCAACAAATCAAATACTTCCTGAAAAAACATGTGGACATTGTCTGTGTACTGATGACCATCACAATTTTCTTCATGGTAATTCTTTGTGTTCCAGTATCTCTCCCTCCCTCCCTCCCTCCCTCCCTCCCTCTGCCTCTGGTTGAAGTAGCATTGCAAACTGAGCAAGGAGATGGAACTAAAGTTCTGCAAAAACTGAGTAAAATTAAAGTTTTGGTTAAACCAAAAGAACTGGCAAAGATAAATTATTTGTCTGGAATTCAGATTTGTTCCCTATGGCCATCTAAGACACCAAGAGTTACCTCTGGATAAGAGGGACGGCACATCAATCAATCCAATAAACAAACAAACAAACAAACAAATAAATAAATCCTCATTGAAGGTCAAATTCAGAGCCCCATAAAACACTCAATATGCTCTGAATTGTTCTTGGGCTAGTCTTTGCCCTTCTTATCCAAACCAGAAAGTCATCTTCTTCCTAGCATTCCACTTATCCCAACCAGAGAGGAAGGAGAAATAATTTTGGTTGTCATGGTTATTATCCATTACAGTTTTTCTTTTTGAAAAGAAGAAATTCCGGCTCTATTATTGGTAAATACAGTATCTTCAGACATTTCTAGATTAACCTTCCCTGATCCCTATCAGTGAATTACTGTCTTAGATCTAGCAGAAGTGTTTTCAAATTGGTGCTCTCTGATCTTTCCGACGCTTCATAGTGAGATCTACCCCATCATTTTAAACCAAAATGTGATTTATTTAATTTTGGTTTAGCACTAAATTTAGCCCAGAAGTCTGCCTTGTGAACCAAGGTTTATGGCTTAATGTGATGTGTGAACCCAATCAATTAATGATCAATTAGAACTCCATAGTATTAGCTTATAATAATTAAAGTATAATAATAAAAATATCATTCAGCCATGATTTTAGATGATTTAAATATAACTCTTTGTTTTCTAATGGTCCATTATTAGTCCACTGCATTTATAAATACAAATCTATATAATCAGACCTGCATAAATTTGCATAGATATAAATATATTTTTTATAAAATAATATTTTTATGTACACAAGTATGAATCAATGTTTTAAAACTTGCATTATTTTCTGCTTATGGAAGGATGTGCAAACACCTGCTCTCTAATTGTCAATAGTTTCTTTTAAGCTAATGAATTAAAAACAGCATTAGATTGTCCAGTAACTAAATATGGCATATTAAATGATCAAGAACTTCTTCTAATGGATTAATTTAATCAATCAGCCGAGAAGCATTGCTGTTCTATGCACCTGAATGCAAAATGAAACCTCAGTAAATTCAGTGGGATTTGAGTTAGATCTGTATTGGATTAGACTGCAAATTTTATATGCCAATATTGTATGCATTCACTATATCATATCTCCCCCTAATAAATTGGGGTATAATTTCTAATTCTCAGTCTGACATAGATATTTCTTTTCCAAGCTTGAATGTCAAGACAAGCTCAGGTCTTATAATTAAATAATTAGAAATGAATTAATGAGTAATATTTTTTAAAATCTACTTGAATTTTGGCACTGAGATCAGGTAAAATGTTTCCCACTGCAGTTTCTTAAGATAAACTCCACTGTATTTTAGTGCCTTGCTTTTTTCTCCCCAAATCATGATGATTGGATCAAAGTCTGTGTCACATATTCTATTTTGCAGCTGATTTAGGATTAATATCATGACAGAAAATGTACATACACACATAATTGCATTGTCTGCATCTGCTTTATCCTGTTTTGTTGCTCCCTTCTCTTTTAGACTTTTATTGCATTTTATTATTGGTTTCTTTAATTGCTGGTAGCTGCATTAGGGTATAAAAGAAATGGATTTCTGGGAAATTGCTTTGAGGAGAAAGAAGGAATAGCAGTGTAAGAATTAAGATGAAAGATTACAACATTTCCTAATTATGTTTTAAGAACATAAAGTATTGATCCTCCCCTTTGGAAAGAACATTTGCCTCCTTCCTTGCATTAATCTTTCCATTTTATGTGGAATTACTGAGGGCGTAACAAGGCTTTGCAAGTCACTCCTTTTTGCTAATGGTATGCAATGTCAATTTATTGAACAGCATTTTTTCTATTCATAACGACTACCTCTTCCCACTGGAATGGCCATTCCAGCTGAGATCTAGTCAGCAGATATTCTATCGGACAATTTAAAGCTGGTTTGAATAGCAGTGGTTGGTTCTCCAATTGCTTAGATTAGAAGGATTTTTTGGCCATACATTCCAGGAGTACGGAGACTTGACCTGGAAGAAGTAAAAATTATCTTTTAGTTTATTTTTCTGAAAGACTTTTGTTTTCTCAGTCATTTCAAGCCCAATCCATTCTGTTTGACCTTATACAATGAATTCAGCATTTTTATATATTGATGAAGAAAAGGAGATAAAATGCATTTATGTCTGGAGAAGAATGCATAGATAGATGTAGTGTGTGGTATGGATATGGTGGGTGACACACACTTCTGGCTTTGATATGCATCCTCCAACAAATTATCTATCCGGTTCCACCACAAAAGCGCGTAGGACAAAATCGCGCTCGACAAAAGCGCGCTGTGACGTCATCACAGCGCGACGAAAAAGTTCAAAAAATGTAAAAATAAAGCAAAAACCTTACCCTAAGCCCCCCAAACCTAACCCTAAACCTAACCCTAAACCTAACTCTTAACCTAACCCTAAACCTAACCGTTAAAGTAACGAAAAACCTAACGCTAACCCTTAACCTAACCCTAACGCTAACGCTAACGCTCTAAAGCTAACCCTAACCCTTAACCTAACCCTAAACCTAAACCTAACCCTTACCTTTATGTGAATCGGCTTGCTTTAATTTAATTTTTATTAATTTTTATTTGAATTTTTCGATCTTTTTCGTCGCGCTGTGATGACGTCAAAGGCGCGATTTTGTCGATCGCGCTTTTGTCGTCCGCGCTTTTGACGGGTCACGTATCTATCCATGAGAAAATATGGACTTTGGTCTAAAAAAAGTACTCTATTCCTAGTTCAAAAGATTGATTTTGTTGTAATTGCATTTTGTTACTGCTGTTCTCATAGCTTGAAAGAGCAGTGCAGAAATGTTCTATTTAACTTATATATTTTCAAATGTTTGTTTCCTTTTCATTTATTTATTTTGTCTAGATTTATGGGATGATACTAACTTCGTTCCTTTGGTACTCTATCCATTGTAAGAACAATTTGGATCGAAAGGGCAAATATGTCCTGGCAAAGCTATCCGAAACTGGCTTCTGATCTGCACAGAAGAAGGACCAGGACTTTCCATAGATGTGAGTGAACAATATGGGAAGCTTATTCTCGTTGTCACCTGTTTTCTCCCCACAAATGACCTGTTCCAAATATACTTGAGCAAATAGGCAAGTAAGAAGCCTGCACTATTTGTTGATAGGCTATTTAAAATGATGCTCATCCAGGACCTCAGAAGCACACAGTATTGACTGTAAACACAAAGGCATGACATAAACCCAGCAGCAAGAATTGTTCAACCACAAACATACTCGGCAACTGAAAGCCATAATTTGGGGGCCCCAAAATAGCAAGTCAAAACAGAACAACTCTGAACTCATTAACTAGCAAACATCTTTTTAAAACTCTGCTGAATGAATGAGCAAAAGTGCTCTGCTTTTATTTATTTTTTGTCCCATCGATTTTCAACAGTCAGTTCTGCTACAATACCTGAATTTAAACCCTAATGACACTTTTGTATACTTTCTTGATTTAAGTAAACCTCTGGAGATAACTTACAGTATCTGTCTAATGTAAACACCAGTGTTGCTTCTATGACAGAAATTGAGTTTTGGTTTGATCCATCATCATTGGATTTCATTCCAATCAACTAAAGTTCGTAGTTATTTAAGCTGGACTATTAAAGAAATTTATGGAATTGAGTGTGACTTCCCATGCATTCCGCTTTGCTCTGTGTCTAGTGAAGGCAATGAAAAACAATCACAGTCTTTTCTTCCAAGACAAGTATTGATTGAGCAATTTCAGCACAGTAACCTAAATTCTTAACTTTCTATGGGAAGTGAAAACCTGTTAGCTCCGAGGATATACTGTATATCAAGTTTTCTTTAATAGGTGTCATGAAAAATATTAGACTTGTCATTTGTAACTGGTCAATTGATAGGGTAGTCCTGTGTCCCTTTAGATTCACAGAGAAGAAGGTACTTTGGTGATAGCATGGGCACTCACAGAGCATCCATCACCAAATGTTTCTTTTCCAACACTATGCTGCAGCCCTAGAAGGCACCCATGCAATCCTGGGAAGACATAGTTGTTTCAAGGGACTGCCAACAGGGGCCATGTGCTGCGAAAGTACCTTTTCCCCATTGAATCCAAAGTAGTGCTCAGCTATCAGCTCATGATACAGATGCTTACAAAAAGTCAACGTATGAATAAATGCTGAAAAAAAAACTCCAAGCAGAGCAAGAAAGAGGAAACCAAACCTCAAAGTTTCCAAAATCATGAACAGGCAACTGTTTTCTAATAATGTACCCAAAAGTTTGGAGATTCCTACAATTCTAGTAAAAATCACACATAGTATTACACCAGGAGTCCATCAGTTTTAAAAGGGGAAGAGAAGTCATAGCATTTTTTTTTAGTTAATCAGACTTGCCTAGGCAAAGCGAAAGCATTATAAAAATGTCCCAATGAAGGAGAATATTTGTAGCTCAGGGTTGAAATGAGGGGTCCGTGTTGCTCTCTGAGCTTGGTTGTAAACTTGCAGATGTTTTATTATCCAAAGTAGGTGACACCATCAATGCTAATTATTAGCACTGATAGTTTTTACCTAGTTTGGGTAATGAATTTTTTGTAACAAAACAACCAAGCTCAGAGATCACTAAGGACCCCTCATCAAAATGTACTCCTGCCTTGCCAATGCAAGCACATATCAGGCTTACATGGCAAAGCCCAGCATGAGTTTTGAGAGATAGTTAAAATATAGGATCTAGTCTTTTGTCATAGCTATGTAATACTGAGAATAGTGATTTCTGATGTAGCATGTAACAGTATATCTATACCCTATAGATTTCAGAGGAAGGTATTAGTAAAATTAATGACTAATCAACTGGTAATGTTAAGCTAAATCAAGAAAGTATAATGAAAGTTCTGCATCTTAGAGGAAGTAGTGTGATGGTTTCCTGAAATCCTTAATCCAAATGATGTCATTCATTTTATCAACAATTTGTGGGCATGCAAATTCATTTATCATTTTGGAACATTTTTGCTATTACAAAAAATGAGAACTCCTACGTAAAGCTATTATGGTATTTAATCTACATATGACTTTTAAATGTGTTTCCATAATCAGCCAAGAACCCAACTAAGATACATAAATTCATCTATTTGCTTTCCTTTTTCTTCACTTGTCGCTCCCTTTTCTTTGCCAAATTTACCCAGCGGTCTTTGATATGTCTTTGATATGAATTTTCAGATTAGGATTCCACATTGCATTATATAATTTATTCACTTTTCACTGAAAATTATTTGAGTTCTCAGCTAGCAACACAGTATCAACTGCGTACACCTACATTCACATCCCCACAAATACTACTCTGTTGCTAGCACAAGCATTCCACATAAATTTATCCATAAATATATTAAATCATCAGAGAACACACAATCCTTGACTTACTGTCTGTTCAGTATTGGACCACCTCTAATAATTCAATTTATGTTTTGTTATTCAACCACTACATAATGGAATCATTCATCAACCACAATTCAATTTCATTCTCTTGAAAAAGACTATATAATTCAAGTCTATTCACTTTATTAAATGGCTTTACTATACCTATTATTCAATAATTTTTTACATATTTGTCAGTTTATCTGCTGCAAATAAAAAATCTGTTTGAAAACCTTCTGCCTGATACTCCCCAAATGTTGCTCATTGTCACTTCTCATACTATTTCAGTCAAAATTCTGTCACACTTAACAGCCACACTTAAAAAATAAAATCTCCTTTAGTTTTTGTGTGCATTCTCCCTACTTATATATTAGCAGAGTGCAACAATACTCCTTGGGTCACCCTGGCAATTGAGACAATAATTCCATTTCTTTCATTTTTAACAACATTCACACTCCTTGATTAATCTGTCTTATTTACTTCAGATACTAACAATTTCTTGGTCTCTTTGACTATATCAGCCACACTGAGTCTGACTGGACACAAGGAAGAGTCTATATTGGGATGCTTTTTTTCCAACCATGCCCATTTCTTACAGAGTGCCTGAACAAGCCCTGCAGTTTTCTTGTCAAGGTTTTTCAAAGGAGGTTTGCCATTGCCTCCTTCCTTGAGACAAAGTGTGTGGCTTTGTACCTAAGACAGGACTAGAACTCATGGTCTCCCAGTTTCGAGCCTGATGCCTTAGGCTCAGGCTAGCCATAGAAACTACCCCAAATTGGATCTCATATTAGAAATTAACTCATGACAATAAGGCAACAAATTGTAAATGTTTTCTTACCCTTACTGCATTCCCTGATAGCTGGCCAGCACTCCTACTTAGGATGAACCAGTCCCTATTGGATAAGGAGAGCCCCCTTACTGGACCATTGTGAAGATTATTCAGGCTGTCTGACAGATATAGTCACTCAGATTTATTCCACCTTGGACTCTGACTGGGCAGGTAGGCTGAATTGCTTGGGGCCTGGTCTGGTGTGTTCTGGGATGCGTTTGAGCCATTGACTCCTGAGGAACTAGCTCTCCATTCTGTCATGCTGTCAAGTAGCCAAGAAAGTGAGCTGTTATTGAGTCTGCTACAGCATTAGCTTCCTTGATGGTGGGGGTGGTGCCCGCAGCCTTGAAAGAAGCAGTGGTGCCCCCTAAAGAGGCCATCTCTGGGCCCAATGGCCTTTGATAACTATCAACTATTCCAATCCTTTTTTGGTATAGTTTGCTGAGTGGTTTGATCTGCAGCTGATGAGAACTCTGGAGGATATGGACTATCTAAACTACTTTTAGTCAAGTTTTATGCTGGAATTTAGTACTGATACAACTTTGGTTATGCTAAATAAATAAAATAGTAGAACTTTTCATAATTTAGCAATAGCAATAGCAATAGCAGAGACTTATATACCGCTTCATAGGNAGCCCTTTTACACGGCCGGTGCAGTTCCAGGAAAAACAACACTGCACCGTGGAGAAGAAACCATTTTGCGCCGCCCCCCCCCCTCACCGATGAGAAAAAGGACCCCGGTGATGAGTGGAATGAGCTCGCCCACACAAGGGAGGAGGAGGGGAAGTTCCATTCATGAAGACGGGTTTCTAAGCGCGCACAACAGTTGGACAACGTTTTATATTGATGTGAAAATATTCGTGTAAAATATTTTCCGTATACCCTGCCCACTTTTATACCCCGTGGGGGGGGCATGCGGGGTAGGTAAAAACGTACATTGCCCGCAGGTTATATGCGTGAAAATACGGTAGTTGTGGATGGGAAGAAAAATCTCCCTTGTGAAACTTGTGGGGTGGTGGTCCTTAAAATTTCAAGCTTAAAATTAGCTTGAAATGTAAAGAAGCAGCACATGGGAAAGGCAATGTAGTGAGATAATTTTTGCATTTCTCTAAAGTAAACAATTATGGAAAATGATCCTATTAATATTAGCACACATATCTTCTTATATTTCCATAAAGTTTGCATAAATGCAGAGCCTCTGTGATTGGTATTGGGAACAATGAGTTAGCAAATTCTTATAAACAACCACTTGCTAAAACATGCTTATAAATTGAAGAGAAGCAGGAAGAAATAAATTATATTTCCAGCTGCAAATGGCTTTGCCAATAACATTTCAATGACGCCCGTTCCTTGGTGTTTTTATGCCAGTTGAGATTTAAATCTAGATGAACATTTACTTCTATTCTTCCTATAATAGGACTTTCATAGTAAACAGCAGTCCCCAGGATCTATCCTAGGTGTGCAGTTCACTAAATTCACAGTTGGAAGAATCACAAAATCTAAGAATTTGTATCCTTACCAGTAATTGAAAAGTGATTATACTGGGGACAAAGAGGGCATAGAAGTTAACCTTTGTTGCAAATCATGTTAATTATGATTAAGAACTTAATCACGATTCTTGTTTGAACATGTCCCCAGATACTCTATGGCAGGGCTGTCAAACTCCCCGTCCATGGGCCAGATGCGTCACGTGCTGGCCACACCCATGCCCGGTTTAGCAAAGGGGAAAAAAATTCCCGATATATCACATGACGCCACTGTGATGATGTGAGTTGG